AATACAGTAATACCCCGACTTACGCTACCCCGACTTACGCGAATCCGGAGTTACGCGATTTTCAAATCTCGTCGATTCGTCTTTTGTTTGAGCGCCACGCAACTCTTAATTACTCATTTCCCCCCACACTATTGTTCGGCTTACATGTTCGGACGTGTTCGACATATAGCTACAATTTATTTTGTGTTATTTGTATGTATTTATATGCAAAATTATACCCCGACTTACACGAATTCGACTTACGCGGTTATCGCTCGGTCCCACCTATCGTGTAAGTTCGGGGTATTACTGTACTCATTAATGAACTCTTAAGTACATTTGATGTGATTTATCAAATTTAATAAACTATAGTAAATTTTCCATTATACAAATTATATTTAAAAATTTTCTGAAATTTCTTTTATATATAAACATGTCACCACTAAATCATCATATTAAACAAAAATTTCCTTAAATTATTAACAATTTTCATCAAAATTTCCAGAAATTAACTCATAAGTAAATCATCATTGAATTTTTTACTTACAAATATCAGAGATGTTATAACATATGTAATGGTAAAGCAGGAGTTAATCTTTAATGACTGTTGTGCCAAAGTAATACAATGCAATAATATAGCATGCCACTTTTAATTTGTAAAAAAAGGCCTATACTAATTTACTAAATATCCAAAAAAGACTATTTAGATTAGGTTATTCATACCTGATCATTTCGAAAACATTTTTAAGAACCATGTAAACGAATTAGTAATTCATAAAATGAAATGTCTTAATTCTCAGGTAATGTAAATGTATTTTTTATTTTTTTAGGGTTTTTCGATATTTTTTTTAATAAACCTTTCCTTTTATGACACTAAATTGATTTTACATTCAAATTCCAGGCACAAATTAGCCACTTCAGTAATATATATTTACTATAAAACAGATTATTTGTCCCTGCTGGACCAAGCCTTAAGCCTACTTGTAGCCTGAATTATCTCAATTGAGTTCTGATAGTATTGATGGTTGAGCTTACTAAACAACCCACCAGCTAGCTGTATGAGCTCAGCTGCACTTGCCTGACCCAATCACCACTACATGAGGGAGGACCTAAGGGTAATATAATTTTAAGCAATAATTATGATAATGGGAGTATTTATCTTTACCCCTCTAGGAAAAGTTTCAAGCAAATGCCTATGCATATTACTTGTGATTAAGATAAAAATATGCAAATGTAGTCTTGTGTAGTCCTGTAGTCAATGATTGTTAAAGATAGTAAATAAGTATGAAAAACTTATGAATTAGTCTTTAAAAGGTACTCTATAAATTGTGTTCTACAGCTATATTACATGTTGTGAATATATGAATTTTATATAGAATTTATACAAAAACCAACTTTTTTAAAAAACTGGATTTTGAATCTCAACTTTTTACCCCCAAAAAATGGAGATAAAGGATATTTACAACTTATTTTAAAACTTTTTCATTTATTTAATATCTATAACATTTCAAAAATATAACAAAATAAAATCAACCAATGTCTACACAAAAGAAAACAAATGCCAGAAAATCACATTAAACTATAAAATTTACTCCATAGAAAACCATAAAGAAAAAACAATAATGAATGCTACAAAATGTCATTTTATTTCTTATTTTTCATATGAAAATATGATTTTAAAAAACAATCATCATCTATAGAGCTATTGCTCAACTGTGTTTTTATTTTGCACACAAATTGTCAGAAACAGAAAAAAAAACTCACTTGCTACCGAGTGTACCCTCTAATGCAAAAAATTCTTATTAGTATCCCTGCGTTTCTTTATGCAGCGAGAGTGTAGCGAAATGACGTCATGAGCAGTGTTGGCCAATTAGAAACCAGTTTCAGTGTGTTCGCTGTAAAGCGCTTCTCGAGCGCTGCATAAAGAAACGCGGGGTATCTTAGAGCTGGACGAAGTCACCTTTTCAAGTTCTTGAAGATATTTATGTAATCAATCTCGCACAACCTAATTTTGGGGCAAAGGGTTGCTTGTAGAGGTACGGTTCCTTTGACTTTTTGCTCCTATGGATATGCTCTACAGATCTGATGAGATCCCAACCTTCCATTCAGAGCTTGAATTGAGCCAAATTAGACGCTTTTTAGGCATAGGGGAATTTTTTGTTTTGTAGTTAGTTTCATGAAACTTAAATATTTAACAATATTCCCGTTTTATGCCACAGAAGATTCTGTGTCAAAATGTTGAGGTTTTTAATCAAATAATTAATTAATTTTATGTTTTAAGTGTAGACTCAAAAACCAGTTCCTTTACTTGGAAAAATCCAGTTTTTAAATTATACAAATTTCTTCAAAAAACCAGTTTTTCAAAACCAGGTTTAAAAAACTGACAAACCCTAATTTTATAAAACATGAAGCATNATTTTTATTTGTTTCCATCAATGAAAAAGCATTTGCAGGGGCACCGTTTTGTGTCATGAGATGAGGTGAGAGCAGCAACACAGGAGGCCCTATAGGAGGTTTCAAAAAGTGGCTTTCAGCAGTGCTTCCAGAAGTTATATGAGCACTGGCAAAAGTGTACTGTTACCCAAAGGTGATTACTTTAAAGGTAGTTGTGTATTGGCAATATAAACTTTTTAAGGTAAGGAATTTTACACTAAGTCCCCAAACTTTTGGATTGTACTACGTATATATATATAAAGAACAGAAAAGTTATTGCTTTTCTCTACCTGCTAATGTAAGAAACTTTTAAAACTTTTTTTGCACTCAATTTATATATCATAATTGTCATTTGTTAAATTTATATCAATTATAAATATATAGCTTTTGTCCCAGCATTAATATTAGCTACATATTTGTAGAATACAAATCCCAAATTATACTAATAATCAAATGAAAATTAATAAATTTAATACAAGATGGCAGTTTAGTTGCCTATCTATAGTCCAAATTACAAAACAAATGTGTAATTAATTACAAGGTCCTAAACTGACAGTTAATTTCTTCTATTATTTTATTATTAACAATAGCCAAATTAGTATTAAGTTATCTAAAGTTTTCTAATAAAATTTATTTCTATGACATTCTATTATTTCCCCAGAAATGATTTTAAAAGTTCTTTTTCATATATTAAAAACATGTTTTAACCTTTTATTTCTGATGAGAAAAATCAAACTAGAAAAAATTAAAGTACTAATATCTAAATTCGAACAAAAAAAAAAACATGATAGATCTAAAGATACATTGATATACAAATTACAGTAACACTATTGACAAGAACCCAATATCAAACAACAAAGTACAGTCGACCTCCCTATAAGATCATAGATACGTTCCATTCTTTAGGAATCCGATTTCTTACGAGTCCTTCCAATCACAGCCCGACACGTGTCAAGTTTATGGACTACGGCTGATTGAAAGGTTTTCTTCCATAAAATTAATCTATTCTAGACTAATCCGACTCAACATTTCCAAAAGACGTATATATTTTTTGGAAATAATCCGTATAAACTACGCTATAAACAAAAAATTGTGAGATTACTTACCGAGTGTGCACCATTCGACATCGCCATTGCTAAAGCTTGTTTTCGTCGCGGAACAGCTCAGCAAATAGCGGCTTATTTCTAACAACTTATTTTTCTGCGAAAACTTCGTTGAACTTTGGAGACATCATTAATATAAATAATTTTAATCGCCGTTGAATAAGAAATGTTTCTTTCACAAGAAATGTATAAAATTACAGTACTGTATTAGACTTACGGTAC